CAAAAAGAAAAAAGCCGGAAGTGGCACTGTGGCTCAAGTGGTAGGGCACTAGCCTTGAGCTGAAGAGCTGAGGGACAGTGCTCAGGCCCAGAGTTCAGGCCCCATAACCGGAACAAAAAACAAAATTTTGATGGTATACTTTTGGTATGTCTTGTCCATTGATTTCTATTTAAGACCAAACTGAGGCATTTTTTTAGAAACTACTAAAGAAATGTTCACAGTAGGACAAAATCACAACAGTGCTGCTCAGGGGACCACAAATCTATGACTGTGATCTTGTCAGCTCCTTGGTTTTATACTTTTTATTTTTGAAATTTTATTAAAGCCTTATACTGAATTTTTTTAGATAGGCTCATGCTATGTCAATATTTAGCTTAGGGTTATCTTGAACTCAATCATCCTGTTTCTACCTCCCCAATATAGATATTAAAGGTCTACACCAACACTCCAGGCTTACTCTGAAACATTTAACAGAGTAAGCAAAAATTTAGATTAAAAAAGCTTTCTCAACTACTACTTATAGGCATTTATGAATTTCCCAATTCATATTTGAGTCTTGAATTTATATATTCAAAACTGAATCCATTGTGAAGGTGCTTTAAAGAAAATTAAAATGGGCTGGGAAAGTGGCTCAGTGGTAGAGTGCTTGCCTTGCATGCATGAGGAGGCCCTGGGTTCAGTTCCTCAGCACCACATATGCAGAAAAAGCCAGAAGTGACGCTTTGGCTCAAGTGGCAGAATGCTAGCCTTGAGCTGAAGAGGTGAAGGACAGTGCCGAGGCCCAAAGTTCAGGCCCCGCTACCGACCAAAAAAAGTAAAAAAGAAATTAAAAGAATTGATAGAAACTTTCAGGATTTCTTCAGTTTCAGTTTTATTTGTAACACTGCAGAAAAACATCTCAGCTTTAAAGTTTGATTTAGAACTCTGACCTACAAAGTTGTTTGCACACAAAGTTGTAATTTTCCTTGCTTTTGTTTTAGCTTTGAGAAGTCCAAATATGGATATACCTTCTTCCCCAAATATTGGACTTCGACGTAGTGGTCAAATTGAAGGTGTTCGGCAGATGCACAATAATGCTCCTCGGAGCCAGATGGCCACTGAACGAGATCTGATGGCGTGGAGCAGAAGAGTGGTGGTAAATGAACTAAATAGTGGGGTTAGTAGGTGAGTCAATAAGGTAACATTCATACACAAGCTTAAAGCTTTATTTGTTGTTAATGACTTATATTGTTAGCCTACTAGCTTAATTGAGTCATACTTTACTTTTTATATGTTATTCTAGCTCATTCCATAATAAATATTATCTTCAATTTTCTCAACTTTGTGTCAAATGCTTTGGGGAATACTGAAAAATGCAAAGTGTAATTTCTGTTCTATTTCTTTATCTGGATAAAGCTATAAGAGGACAAGTATTATTAAGTAAGAACTCATAAATGATCATTTTTGATTAAATTTGTGAGTGGTGTATGGATGTTTACTCAATGGTTTTAAGGGAAAAATAATCAACTAGATACTGGAGAAGTATGGGAGTTCAGTGTAGTATAGTCTGATGATTAGGTTATGTTTGGAAATGTCATTTAAATAGGCTTCATTGCATGGGGATTTCATTAGGCTGAATGTTAAACCTACAATTTCTTTTTTCTTTTTTTTGGCCAGTCCTGGGGCTTGAACTTAGGGCCTAGGCACTGTCACTGAGCTTCTTTTGCTAAAGACTAGCATTCTACCAATTGATCCATATCATCCCTTCCAACTTTTGCTGTTTATATCATACTAAGAAATTGAGCCCAGGGCTTCATGCATGCTAGGCAAGCACTCTACCATTAAGACACATTCCTAGCCCCTAGAATTTCTATTCCTATTTGTAAATACTAGTATTTTCTATAATATTTGTGTGAAATCAGCAATAATAACTGGGAATTTCTTGAAGGGAAGGACCTTAACAGAGAAAGTGTAAAATTGTTTGCGATCACGCAGCTTCCTAAACAATCCTTTTAGCTCATCGGGCAAAATCAGGAAGATGCATTCAGTTTCACTCCTCTTTCTGGTTTTTGGCACAATTAGAAAACAACAGTTGGCTGGGAATGTGGCTTAATGGTAGAGTGTTTGCCTAGCATGCACAAAGCCCTGGGTTCAATTTCTCAGTACCACATAAATAGAAAAACCTGGAAGTGGCACTGTGGCTCAAGTGGTAGAGTGCTTACCTTGAGCAAAAGAAGCTCAGGGATAATGCCCCCAGTCCTGGGGCTGGCAAAAAAAAAAATAATTAAGGAGACGTAAAACTGGGAGTCACTGGCCCACACTTGTAAATCCTAGATACTCAGGAGGCTATGCTTTAAGATTGCAGTTTGAAGCCAGCTGGGACAGGAAAGCCCATGAAACTCTTTTTTCCAATAAACCACTCAGAAAAAGCCGGAAGTGCCCCTGTGGCTCAAAGTGGTAGAGCACTAACCTTGAACTCAAAGAGGCTCAGGGACAGCAACCAAGACTTGAGTTTACCCAAACCTGCGAAAAAAGAAGACATAGCTCACTTATTAATTCATAACAGTATAGCAATTTAAAATGATTTTTACTTAAAGACTTTGAATTAAAGCAAGGGCTATGAATAATTTTATAATAATGTTCATTGCAAAATTATTCGTAGTAACCAAATGTTGAGCATGAATCAAGCATCTTATCAGTTAAATGAGTGGTATATCCAAATATATACAAATCTGGTATATCCATACAATTATATATTATAGAACCATAATTAATTCTGGTATCTTCTGTAGCATCTGTAAGCTTTGAAAGCATCATGCTAAGTGACAGAAGCCAGATGCAGAGACAAATGTATGAAAGCACAAAATAAAATACCTAAATGAGGCAAGCACATAGTAAAGGCTAGAGGAAGGGGAAAGAGAATTTATTGTTTCTAGTTACATGATTTTTCATTGCAGTACTAAAAAGTTTTGGACATAGTAGAAATGATTCTGTAACTTTATGAATGTATTTGAGGTCACTGAAGTAAGCAACTAAAATGTTAAATTGACAAATTTTAAAATATTTTCTTTTTGATAATTTGTTATTAGGGTACAGGAAGAATGTCGAACTGCAAAAGGTGACATAGAAGTCGGCCTTTATACAGTAGAAAAGAAGAAAAAGCCATCTTATACTATCCAAAGAGTAAGTTTATTTTTAAAGTACTTTATTACATAGCATCTTTTTTACATAGTATATTTTACAGATAGCAGGTATTTGAAAAAAGTAGAAATTAGGTAGTAAAACATTGTTGTGCAATAATCTTAGCTACTGACTAGGGAAGCAAAATCAAGGAATCTCAGTTTCAGACCTATCCCAAGCAAAAAGAAGTTTGAGAGATTCCAACAAATGGCTGGTCTCTATGTAAAGCAAGCACCTTTCTCCCAGCAACACAGAAATCACCAGAAGGAAGATTACAGCCTAGGCTGGTCTGGGCATAAAGCACGCCCCTCCTTTGAAAATAACCAAGGCAGAAAGCTGCTGGACATGTGGTTCAAGTGCTAGAGCAATTGCATAGCATTGTGAGATGGAATCTATTACCAGTACTGCCAATAAAAGAGACTTTTGTGATAGTTGTCCATTTACAAAAAACCTATTAACTCAAAATTGATACATATATATCTCAGTACTATTAATAAAAAATATAGTTCAATGAAGTGAAAATGGTACAAAATAAACTAGGACATATGGCTGTTGTAAGCATAGGATATTTATGTTAAATTATCTTTTCATGTGATTAAAGTACTACCGTAAAACATCATCTGATCACAAGGTAAAAAATCAGATACCCTAGGCAAAAGGCTGGCCAGCTATAGCCATGAACCAAATCTCCTCTGCTTCCTATTTCTTTCAAATGTTATTGGAGGATAGTTGCAGTAATTGATGGCTTGCTTTTTTGTTGAGATAGAGTTGATTATTTAGAATAGAAATCTTTATGTCTAAACCCACAAATATACTTCAATACTTGCTTGCCCTAGACTCATTCCTGGTCTATCTATTTAAAAGTAAAATCTAATCTATATGTTAGGAATACTGGGTTTGTTTGTTTGTACTGAAATTTAAAAGCTCATGTAGCTGAGATGGACTTTTTCATTTAAATTTTTTTAACCCTGGGTTTATGCTCATTCAGAGCCGGTTGCTATCCGTTACCTTTTTTGTTCAAGGTTGGCACTCTTAACCACTTGAGCTACAGCTCTACTTCCAGCCTTTGAGTGGTGAATTGGAGATAATAATTTAACAGACTTTCTTTTGCCCTGGCGGATTGAAATTTGATTCTTAGATCCCCACCTCCTGAGTAGCTAGGTACCTGAATAGCACCAGTGCCCAACTGGTACTGGGTTTATTTTTATTTTCTCAACACAAATAGGTAAGCAAGGAGTAGGATGCCTTGATTCCATTAGGTACATGATAAGCTTATTAGTATTCTGAGGTTTACCAGATGGGCATATGAATGCACAAATTTGTATCTCAGTTCTAACCCTTCTGTAGACTGTTGTTGGCTACGTAGACAGTCTAGGATCTTTTGTTTTTGTTAAATCTAAGCAATGAGCACTGACTTAAGTTCTTTCATTATTGATAAATAGAAATTTAGGTAATTATCTTCATGTATTCTTAGGTGATTTTGATAGATATTTTAAATTTTTCTGTGGTTTTGTTGGCTTATTTGATCTTTGTCAATGTGATTAATTTTTTTTAAAGACTTTGACTCTGCTGATTGAAGATAGTTGCAAATTAAGAAGACTTTTATACTTTTTTTCTTTTTATTATGGAATATTACATTTCTTTTTAAAAAAATGTAAAGGTGATATACAGAGGGATTATAGTTATAAGTCAGTATATTTGTTTTTCTTAGTAACATTAGACTTACAAATTTTCCATAGGTTTTATCAGTAGTGTTTCATATTTATAAATGTTCGCATAAAGTAGTTTAAACTTTAAATTTTAATTGCTAAAAATTAATTATTTATGAACTAGAGCCGGGGCTCAAATGGAAAAGCTCCTGTCAAGTAAATGTAAGTCCCTGAATTCAAATCTCAACACCGCCATTTTACCTGTATATTGAATTGATATTCCGAAATTATTATTATTTTTGGTAGCTCTTGGGCTGGGCTTTAGTGCTGTTCCTGAACTTTTTTGTGCTCAAGGTTAGTGTGCCATCACTTGAGCCACAGCACCCCTTCTAGCATTTTCTGAGCAGTTTATTGGGAATAAGAGTCTCACAGACTTTCCTGCCTGGGCTAGCTTTGAACTGTAGTCCTTAGATCTCACCCTTCTAATTGCATAGGATTACAGGCATGAGCCAGCAAAATTACTCATTGTTACTGTTTTATTTTCTCTTCTATTATCTACCATTAGTAAGAGTAAGCTTCAACAAGATGAGAGTCTTTCTTCTTGCATTAGTAGCCTTAAAATTTATTTTTATTTTCATTTTGTCTGTCTTGAGGCTTGAACTCAGAGCCTGGGCACTGTCCCTGAGGTCATTTTGCTCAAGGCTAGCCCTCTACCACTTTGAGCTACAGCTCCACTTCTCTGGTTGTTAGTTGGCGATAAGATTCTCGTAGACTTTCTTTCCCCAAGCTGGATTTCAACCATGATCTTCAGATCTCAACCTCCTAAATAGCTAGGATTATAGGTATGAGCCACCAGTGCCTGGCTTTTATGTTTATTTTTAACAACTTTCTCTTGGCATTTTTCTGCATGAGAGATTGAGTTAAATTGATTCTAAAGATCTTTAACAACTATTAAGAAATTTAAAAATGCTAATTTGCAGTAAACAAAAGTATAAGTAGGTGTAATTATATATTAACAGTATCAAATTTTCTTGGATTTTCATGGAACTAAAGAATATATTAGAATGTGAGTTTTACAAATGGATATAGATCTGAATTAGTTTTATTACTGATAGTTTGTAGTCTGCTGCTGCCCTTTCTGATTTGTGTGATCTGTATTGAGATTTTGTAGGCTCATTAAAGTTTTAATTTTCAAAATCTATTTCCTTCTATTTTCAGAATGATTACCAGCCAAGTTGTGGGCGATCTTTACGAAGGACACAACGCAAGCGTCAGCATACTTATCAAACACGGTCTAACATAGAGCATAATTCACAAGCATCATGCCAAAATTCAGGTGTACAGGAAGTTTCAGACAGCTCCTCAGAGGTTAGACCTATTTCCTTTTATTTAATGTAATTTTTATTTCCATCTTGGATTACTTTTAAGGTTTACTTTAATTGAAAGCTATTTAATATTTTTATTCACTAGTAACCACTTAGTAGACAATTGTTTTCATATTAAATTCTTTTAGATATCTGATTTGTAACCTTGTCAAGGGTATTTCATATGCCAGCAAACTGAGAAAAAATAGCAAGAGGGAATCTTCTAGAAATGGAGAAAAAGAGTATAAAAATGCTAATGAGTTAGTTAAATAGTTCCAAATCTATTTGACTCTGAAAACAGCATGATATCATTTAAGTATGAATTGACAACAATATGGTACTCTCATTCTACCATTCACAGTATTTCTTGGTGTGAGGTGATTTTTGTTGTTATTGCTGCCAATACTGGGGCTTAAACTTGGGGCTTGTGTGCTGCACCTTAGTGTTTTCACTCAAGTCTCGTATTCTATTATTGCATTCTACCATTGCACCACAGCTCTACTTCCAACCTTTTGGTGGTTAATTGGAGATAACAGTCTCAGACTCCTGCTCTGACTTGCTTTGAACTTGGTCTTCAGATCTCAACCTCCATAGTAGCTTGGATTATAGGTATGAGCCTCAGGAGCCCAACTACGGTCCTTAAACAGTTCTTTGTAATGGTATCTCCCCTTTCCCTTCACAGGATAGTTTAAAAAAAGCTCCCCCACAGTATTTTTAAAACAATATTCTTGGCATATAAGAGAGTAACTGGCCTGGTGCAGGTAGCCCACACCTGTAATCCTAGCTACTCAGGAGGCTGACATCTGTGGAATGCAGTTCAAGCCAGCCTGGACAGAAAAATCTCCATGAGACTAATCTCCAATTAACCACTCAAAATCTGGAAGTGGTGCTGTGGCTCAAAGTGGTAGAGCACTAGCCTTGAGCAAAAGAGCTCAGTGACATGCGCAGGCCCTGAGTTCAAGCCCCACTACCAACAAAAAAGAGAGCATTTGCACTTAAAGATTCTTTTTGTAGTGGTAAAAAGATATTTTATACTAATAAGAATAGGATACTGGGGCTTTGAATGTGGCTTAGCAATAGAATGCTTGCTTCATATGCATGAAACCCTCTGTACCACATAAACAGAAAAAGCTGGAAGTGGGCTGTGGCTCAAGTGGTAGAGTGCTTGCCTTGAGCTGAAGACCTCAGGGACAGGGCCCAGGCCCAGAGTTGAAGCCTCATAATGGACAAAAAAAAGAATACTGGAAAATTGAAATACACTTGAAAGTTGAAAATACATGCAGAATAATATGTGCATGTTTACTAGAATTTTTTTGCGGAATGGAAAATGTTATACTAGCTAATAGTAATGGTGTAACTCTGTTGCTGTCTTTTTGCTATAGGAAGATGAAACTGTTGGTACCAGTGATGCTTCTATAGAGGATCCTGTTATGGAATGGCAAAGTGAAAGTTCTTCCAGGTAGCTTTAATAATTTTGTTTTGATCAAAATTACTCAACAGTGCCTGGGTACTGGTTGCTCATGCCTGTAATCTGAGCTATTGACAAGGCTGAGATCTGAGGATCAAGGTTCAAAGCCAGCCCTGGCAGAAAGTCTATGAGACTCTTATCTCCAATTAGCCACCAAAAAACCAGACATGGAGCTCTGCCTCAAGTGGTAGAGCGATAGCCTTGAGCTGAAGAGCTGAGGGACAGTGCCCAGGCCCAGAGTTCAAGCCCAGAACTGACCCCAAAAAAGTGGAATTAAGTAGGCTTTTCCTCTTGACCCAGACCTCCAGCCTTTTTTATGTGTGTCCCCCCGCCCCCCCCCCCCCGGTTCGTGCGGCTTGAACTCTGGGCCTTGGACTGTCCCTCAGCTCAAGGCTCAAATTCTACCACTTGAGTCACCCTTCACTTCCAGTTTTCTGGTGGTTAATTGGAGCTAAGAATCACAGACTTTCATGCCTGGGCTGGCTTTGAATTGTGATCCTTAAATCTCATCCTCTTGAATAGTTAGGATTACAGGTGTGAGCCACCAGTGCTTGGCTTATATGTGTTTTAAAGCAACCCATTTCTAAGGTTCATGTTAATTTTGAAGATTTTTGTGATCCAGATAGGAATTTCAAATCCTATTATAGCAAAGTAAATATTATGCTTTATGTGAGAATCATTTCATTTGTCACATATTGTCAAAATTCTATATTTTTCTGTACTTAATTCAGAATTTTCATTTATTTACAGTGATTCATCAAGTGAATATTCTGATTGGACAGCAGATGCTGGAATAAATTTGCAGCCACCAAAAAGACAAACGAGACAGGCAACACGGAAAATATGCAGCAGTTCAGAGGAAGAAAATATGAAGTCAATAGAAGAAAAGCAAAAGAAACCTAAACAGACCCGAAAGAAGGTTTGTATATAAATGTGTTGTTTAATTTTGCTTTTATTTTTTGTCTGCTTTTACTTTTTATGCATGAATATTTGTAGTAATATTTAACTTTCCTTTAAAAATATTTTATCAGAGCAACCAAGCAAGTAAAATAGTTTAAACCTTTTTTTTTTTTTGGATCCAGTCGTGGGGCCTGAACTCTGGGCCTGGGCACTGTCCCTCAGCTCTTCAGCTCAAGGCTAGCGCTCTACCACTTGAGCCACACCGCCACTTCCGGCTTTTTTCTTTTTGCTTATGTGGTGCTGAGGAATTGAACCCAGGGCCTCAGGCATCCAAGGCAAGCGCTCGATCACTGAGCCACCTTCCCAGCCCCAGTTTAAATCTTTTAAAACTTAGCTACTTGGGATATATAGATTGGGAAGATCATAGTTTAAGATCAACTTGAGCAAATGGTAGATATGGTGACACACATCTGTAATTTTACCTATATAGGAATCACATGTAGGAGGATTGCACTTTCAAGTTTACCCTGGACAATAGGCAGGAAAGTGCTGGGAAAATGGCTTAAGTAATAGAACACTTGCCTGGCATGCATAAGGTCCTCAGTTCAATCCCCAGTACCACATAAAAAAGTGAAGAGCTAATGAGTTGTTATCTATAGATGATCTGTGTTGTGAAGTTATTGTCTTTTTTGGGGAAAATTGAGCAATTTTCTTTCATTTTATTTTCTGTTCTGTGGCTTGAACTCAGGACTTGAATGCTGTCCCTGAGCCTATTTGTACTCAAGGCTAGAGTTCTACCACTTGAGCTACAGCTCTATTTCTGGCCTATTCTAAGTAATTTATTGGAGATAAGAGTCTCATAGACTTTCCTGCCTGGGAGTTGAACCACAGTCCTCAGGTCTCAGCCTCTTGAGTAGCTAGGATTACAGGTGTGAACCACCACTCCTCTGCATTATTTGCTTTTTATAGGTGCAAAAGTACAAAAGTTACATATAAGCTGGGAGGTGGTGGTTCATGTCTGTAGTCCTAACTACAGAGGAGGCTGAGATTGAAGGATCACTGTTTGAAGCTATCCCTAGCAAGAATGTCCCTAAGACTCTTGCCTCTAATTAACCACCAAAAATGTCAGCAGTGGAGCTGTGGCACAAGTAGTAGAGCTCTAGACTTAAGCAAAAAACAATGGACAGGGCTGGGAAGTTGGTTCAGTGGTAGAGTGCTTGCCTTCCATGCATGAGGCCCTGGGTTCCATTCCTCAGCACCACATAAGCAGAAAAAGCCGGAAGTAGCGCTGTGGCACAAGTGGTAAGCTAGTCTTTAGCAAAAGAGCTGAGGGACAGTGCCCAGGGCCTAGAGTTCAGGCCCCACAACCGACCAAAATAAATAAATAATGGACAGTGCACAGACCCTGACTTTAAGCTCCTCCAGGACTAGCACAATTAAAAAGAAAGTTATTTACCTAATTCTTAAAAGAAAATGATTAAAACTTGTATGTTTTAGGTTTTTAGTAACCTGGTATTTTTCATATCATGTTTCATACAATTCTTGTTTTTCATATAATTCTTGTTTAAGTATTTATGAACTATACTTACATAAATGCTGTAAAATTTAAATGTCTTTATGTTTTAGAAAGGAGGTTTAGTTTCTATGGCAGGGGAGCCCAATGAAGAATGGTTTGCCCCACAGTGGATCTTGGATACCATACCACGTCGTTCTCCATTTGTTCCACAGATGGGAGATGAGGTAATTGTTACTCTTTAAGATGAACTTGTTAATTAGCCTTAGGACATTAATACTGTCCTTTAATACAGTCTTTGCTCCTCTATTCCATTGTGTATTTCTTGAGGTTGGTGACTAAACCTTATTAATTTTTTGAATCATTTGTATAGCCTGATACATTGTCTGAAATACAGTACATATTTGATAAATACAAAGATAAATACTTTGAGTTGATTGTTTTCTGAATATCCACTTAATAGAATTGAATCATTTTGAGTAGTCATTCAAATTCTAATATTGTTAAAAAGTATTTAGCAGGAAAGAAAGTATACTAGAGGATATTTAGTTGAAATATGTCTTTTTGTGACCAAGGCCTTCCTACTGAGTCTGTGATTGAATAAATGTGAGTATATATTTATAATAAGCCAGAAGAAAGTAATTAAAATTCTATGTGTAATTAAAATTAATTTTCTAATTGAAATTATAGCAATATTATAATATTTGAGTAGTAATTGGCTATTGTATACTTTGACAAGTATTAAGTACTCATTTGTTTTTGATTGATCAAATGTTTAAATGCCCAGTTTAATTTAGGATTAACAGTGGGTATGCAATATTATCCTCAGAATAAAAGGAAAAAAAGATCCTATCAAATAAGTTCTAAAACCTTGAGACCAATTAAAGTTATACCAATTTTTTGTAATTACCTGATATAAAAGATATCTTGTAACTGTCAGATAGCTTTATGAAAAGATACTATTGCTGATTTTCTTTAGATTTTATTAACTTTTTTCATTCAAGGTGAGTCTTCTATTGTTTGTTTCTTAAAAGCATTGGAATTTTTGAAGCTGGTGGCTCACGCCTGTAATCCTAGCTACTCAGGAGGCTGAGATCTGAGGATTGCGGTTCAAAGCCAGCCTGGGCAGGAGAGACCGTGAGACTCCTATCTCCAATAAACCACCAGAAAACCAGAAGTGGCGCTGTAGCTCAAGTGGTAGAGTGCTCGCCTTGAGCTGAAGAGCTGAGGGACAGCGCCCAGGTCCAGAGTTCAAGCCCCATGACCGACCAAAAAAAAAAAAAAAGCATTGGAATTTTGAACAAAACTTGTTTATATGATTCTTTTAATAAATATGGCATGATTAATGCTATATTACAAAACTCAGAACTAAATTTTTCATCACATCAGAAATGATGATTTGTTAGTTTATTGCCTGTTTTAAGAGATATAAGAGAAGCAAAGTTGAATTAATTTTAACAGTATACTCAAAACAAGGTTCAGTATACTCTTAAGATCGGTTGAGAGATTCTCCTCTTCATTCCTTATAACCATTTCTCTGAGTTCATATGATGTGGTATTTAGCCCATGGTGAAGATCATTTGATGGGGACAAGTACCTTTATTGAACAAAGGTTTTCAGAACTAATTGTCTTCTGCAAACAGAAGAGGATATTGGAGAATATGTATTGGGATGTATAGAGTTGTTAAATAGGATGCTACTGAGTAATGCCTTATGTTTTCTGTTTTAGCTTATTTATTTTAGGCAAGGACATGAAGCTTATGTGAGGGCTGTAAGGAAAGCAAAAATATACAGTGTTAATTTACAAAAGCAGCCATGGAACAAAATGGATCTTAGGGTAAGTTTGCCAAATTCATAAGCTATGTAACCATAGAGCTTTCAGTTTGTTACTTTATCCATGAGCCTTTTCTCAGTTTCATGGCTATTTCACTGCTGATTGTTTGTCCAAGGTAAATTGATACATAAGTATCCTTGTAAAAAAGACTCTTACAGCTTACATATGATAATTTTTTGAAATGTGTGTATTGTCTTACTGCCTTGACTATTCGACATTTCTTTGAGATTTAGGTCCCTAGTATGAATATTTATCAGAAATTCTGTACATTCAGGAGATTCAACCTATATGTACAACAAACTCCCTAAAGGTTCTGCAAGTTTTGGAATATCTCAAATGTTATAAACCACAAGAAGTTTAGAAATTGGTGATCCTTCATTGTACTACATAGCTACATGACACTGAGTAAAGTAGATATGCCTGTTTTATTTTGAGAGACTGTCTTTCAAATAAATATGTTCATTCATTTATAGATAATTGTATAGACATACAGACATAGGTATGTATGTACTGTCATTTCTATTCAAGTTTATGAGTTTAAGTTCACAAGCCATATGGCTGACAACTATTATGAATCAAGTGAAAATTGAGTTTGGTTTTAGAAGTAAGAGTGTGTGTAAAACAGAATTTCTTATTTCTAATCCTAACCATGACTCTTACAAATTGTAGGAGACAGCATGTGCATTCTGTAAACCTAGGCTTTGGAATAAGACTGAAATTTCAATGCTAGCTTTGCTATATGCTTATTTATGACTTTAATCAAGTCCCTATACCTATGAGAATCAGTAGTCTTAAATGTGATTAGTAATTAATATGCAAGATTGTTATCACTGTAGATATTCAGAACTGTCATCAAACACATACATGCACGTATATACCTGTATGCTTACTCACTGTGTTTCTGCTAGCAATGAGATTTATTTTAACTAGACAGTCTACTAATCTTGGGGAGATTCTTTTAGATTATATAGCTCAGCTGTACATGAGACCTAAGAAAAAAAATTTTTTTGGGTCCAGTTGTGGGGCCTGAACTCTGGGCCTGGGCGCTGTTCCTCAGTTCTTCAGGTCAAGGCTAGCGCTCTACCACTTGAGCCACAGCGCCACTTGTGGCTTTTTTCTTTTTGCTTATGTGGTGCTGAGGAATTGAACCCAGGGCCTCATGCATGCAAGGGAAGCGCTCTACCACTGAGCCATCTTCCCAGCCCCCTAAGAAATTGTTTCTATAAACATAGGGTTTCAGAACATGAATTTTGAAAAATTTCCCTGAGGAATTCTGCTTATATTTGGTTTATAGCCCTTTCATAAATACAATTTGCTATTAAGTATGAAGGTTATAAATGTTTTTTTTACTACCTTCAGTGCTCAGTGTAGTGCCTAGCATTTGGTGAGTATGCAGAATTCTCTGAAGTTGTTAAAGTAATAATGAGATAGCATGTAAATGTTAGGTAATTATATTGTAAATAAATTATTGGTATTTTCATGGACAGGAGCAAGAATTTGTTAAGATTGTAGGTATCAAATATGAGGTTGGACCACCTACACTATGCTGTTTGAAGCTTGCATTTCTGGACCCCATTTCTGGCAAAATGACTGGAGAGTCTTTTTCCATTAAGTGAGTAACTATTTGTTGTTCTGTATGTTTATAGAGTAGTTTTGGGGAGCGGAGGCAGTCATTGGGCTTGGACACTCTCCCTGAGCTCTTTTGCTCAAGGCTAGCATTCTACCACTTGAACCACAGCTCCTCTTTCCAGTTTTCTGGTGGTTGATAAGAGTCTCCTGTACTTTCTTGCCTGAGGTGGCTTCAAACCACCATCTTCAGATCTCAGTCTAAAATTCATGCTAGTATGCTTGAATTATAGTTGTTATATTTCTGTTAACAAGAGTAGGAATAGTAATGATGGTTCTTGAATTTGAATTTAATATTTTAAAAATATTTTAATGTGCCAGGAGCCAGGGGCTCATGACTATAATTCTACCTACTCAGGAAGCGGAGATCTAAGAATTTCAGTTCAAAGCCAGCCTGAGTGGAGATGTGGTTCAAGTGGTAGAGTGCTAGTCTTGAGCAACAAAAGAGCTCAGTGACAGTGCCCAGGCCCTGAGTTCAAGCCTGACTGCCAATATAAATATAATATATATATATATATATATTATAAATATATATATATATGTAATATATATATATATATATATATCTACTTTGATTCTAACTTGCTTTATTTTCTGTATAGATATCATGATATGCCAGATGTCATTGATTTCCTTGTACTACATCAGTTTTATAATGAAGCCAAAGAAAGGAACTGGCAGATTGGTAAGTATAGATTTGCCAATTAATAACTATTAAACCTATTGTAGACTAACATTTTAACCAGAATTTAAGCTAAATTAACACTGAACTAGAAAATTTGTCTAATCTATTAGCCTATCTAGGAAAATTACTGTTTCTTTTTCGATTATATTTAAATGATACTATGCCCTCTGTGTAATATACGTAATGATCTCCCTTTATTCCCAGTCTCTCTTTAGGTAATTCGGTTTGCCTATGTTCACCTGTAGTCAAAAGATATAAAATGGACAATTCTAAAAATAAGTCATTTATATATTTTAATTGCCCTACATTTTGAATAAGAAATTTTACACCATCCTACTCTCATCTGGATGCGAATTACCCTTTGTTTTAGCATATCCATGTTGGAACTGTTAATCACTTAACTGTCTTCCTCTGAACCATCTGAGTATTGCAGTGTTCACATAACCCTCATGTAGTAGCTTCAAGTTGTGCTGTTTACATTATATACCTAACTTCATCTCATCATGTTGATACAGAATCATCTCATATCATGAGATACAAGAGAGCACATTCACGTTATTAACTTGTATGGTGCTGGTACTGGGGCTTGAACTCGGAGACTGGGCACTCTCCCTGTGATTTTTCACTCAAGCTAGCTCTCTACAACCTGAGCCATAGCTGAACTTCAGCATTTTGGTGGTTAATTGGAGTCTCATGGACTTTACTGCCTGGATTAGCCTTAAACTGTGATCCTCAGATTTTGGCCTCATCAGTAGTTAGGATTACAGGTGTGAGCCACCAGTACTGGCCAGAACATCTTTTATCTATAAGCATTTATCTTTTCTTTTTTTTGGGGTCCGGTCGTGGGGCCTGAACTCTGGGCCTGGGCGCTGTCCCTCAGCTCTACAGCTCAAGGCTAGTGCTCTGCCACTTGAGCCACAGCGCCACTTCCGACTTTTTTCTTTTTGCTTATGTGGTGCTGAGGAATCGAACCCAGGGCCTCAGGCATGCAAGGCAAGCGCTCTACCACTGAGTCACCTTCCCAGCCCCAGTTATCATAATTTAAATCATAAAGGCTTTAAAATTCCTGTCTTTACACATTTAGTTAGATATACATGTTTTTTTTTAAGTGCTTTTTTTCTTAAATTTATTTATTTATTTTTTATTTGTGAACATACTGTACAGAGGGGTTACAATTACATGGGCAGGATAATGCGTACATTTCTTACCAAGCATTGCAGCCCCCTCCTTTGGTTTACCCTTCACATCCCTTCCCAGCCTCCCCCTTCCCCCCCAATCCCAACCCTTCTCCTCCCCCCCCCCCCCCCCCCCCCCCGACCGACTTTGTAAAGCTCGTTTTGGACATGACAACTTATACTTCTCGTTGTTGCATCAGGTCCACCTGTATCCTTAAACAACTGTTTTTTCCCCCTCTCCTCCACAAGTTATACTGACATCAAATATAGTGAAAGCAGGGGTTATACTGTGGGGGAGGGACATACAAAGCAACAAAGAGATAGTCTTATAAATGCGTTAGAAACACATGCATGAAAGAAAAAACATTAAAATACATGTCTAAGGGTTCATTTTCCTGACATCACATTATCTGACCTTTTCCACTTGACTCATACATATACTAGATATTGCAAATAAGGGAAACCATGGGACCTATGTTTCTTTGGGCCTGGCTTACTTCACTTAATATAATTTTTTCCAAGTTTTTCCATTGCCTAACAAATGTGGCAATGTCATTCTTTCTGATGGAGGCATAGAATTCCATTGTGTATATATATCACATTTTCTTGTTTAAAGTGCTTTTATAGCTTGTTGCCAGTGGCTCAGATCTGTAATCCTAGCTTCTCAAAACACTAAGATCTGAGTATCATGATTCAAAGCCAGCCTGCCAGAATAGAGCTGTGGCTCAAGTGGTAGAGTGCTACCTTGAGCAAAATCTCAGGGAAAGTGTCAAGGCCCTTAGTTCAAGCCCCAAGTCTGGCACAAACATAATATTTTTGAAACTGTAGTATATATGTAATTTTGGGTGGATTGCTCCTCGGCCTGACTTGGAATCTTGAGTCTGTTAATTATTAGCTACTTTATCTTGAAAAATTTTTAGTAGAAACAATTTATAGACAGCACTTATAATGGTACCTGATACATACTAAATACTAAGTAAATAATATTTACTTTTTTGTGTATATCTTGTGCTAGGGCTTGAACTCAGGGAATGGGTACTGTCCCTTTGCTTTTTCCCTCAAAGGATACCATTCTACCACTTGAGCCACAGATCCTTTTCTGGCATTTTGATGGTTAATTGGAGATAAGTATCTCATAGACTTTTATGCTTGGACTGGCTTTGAACCACAACCCTCAGGTCTTAGCCTCCTGAGTAACTAGGGTCATGAAAATGAGCCATAGATGCCTAGCAATATTTTAGTTGTCTATTTCTTCTAGGTGATGCATTGTATTTTATTCTTTTATTTCTTTGTCTTCCAGAAAATTAAAGTTTAATTTTTGAAGTAGCATAAGGAGGTTTCATTGTGATATTTTCATATATACATTCAGAGCACTTTAAACATTCACACTATCCCTGTGACTGTGGCTAAAGCTTATAATCCTAGCTACTCAGTAGGTTGAGATCTGAAGATTGTGGTATTAAGCCAGCCTAGGCAGGAAAATCCTTGAGGCTCTTCTTTCTCATTAAACACACTTAAAGATTAAAATGTAAGTTTGATTCACCTAGAAATCCCAATTTGAAATATCTGATAATGCTAGATACAGTGTTGCTTTACATTAAAGAGAACTTTCCACTTAGAAGGATATAATGTTGTTACTCTCAAGTATCCTCTTAAGAATTTTTCAAAACGTTATAGGTGATAGATTCCGAAGTATAATAGATGATGCCTGGTGGTTTGGAACTGTGGAGAGTCAGCAGCCTTTTCAACCAGAGTATCCTGATAGTTCTTTCCAGTGTTACAGTGTTCAGTAAGTACAGTTGCATTGTTTGTTTTTTGTTTACCTGAAATAAAAGTAGTTTAGTGTTATGGACTTTAAATAAATTTTACTAGATACAACTTTTTTTCTGATTTATTCGTCTTAAAATAACTGTACTTGCAAGGGAAAAAAATACATGTTGAACAGAATTTGATGACAAAACTTTTGACCTATTGAACTAAAGAAATTTCTACATCACTGTCAGCATTTTCTCTTCAGTAATTCTATTTTTAGATAAGAATTGAAGATACTTTTCATGGAGAATATTAAAAGTAACAATATTTAAAGTAAGTTTTAGTGCTAGCACAGAACACTAAATATTATCACGCAGTCATTTAATGTGAAGAATTCTTGCAGGGTGACTAGATTCTTTCAGGATACTATTTTCCATGGCAATAATTATTCTTGTAATCCCAGAAGTGTAAGGTTCTTATTGAATGAAGGTTTGTAAAATGTTAGTAAGGAGTACCTTATAAAGTTTTCATATTACAGACAAAAAAAGGAATAATAAAATTTTGGAAGTGCTATGATACCAACTCTCTTCACCTGAAAGATACTTTAAAAAGATATTTTTGTATTCTTTACCATGGATTAATACTGGGTATATGCTTGCTTGGAATACCAACAAAAGACACTAACGGTGGACCTACTACTCACTGAGTTTCATATTGATAGACCATATTTTTTCCTAGAGATTTATTATTGCTTGAGCATAGTTGTACTTTTCAAATGTTATGCCTAAAATGTTATAAACTTATGCTAATATATGAAAGTAAAAACTTATGCATTTGATTTACATCATCTTGTTTTTTTTAATAGCTGGGACAATAATGAGAGAGAAAAGATGAGCCCCTGGGATATGGAACCAATTCCAGAAGGAAGTAATATGCTTTTTTAATTACTTTAAAATTTATTATTAAGTAGGGGTAAAAAGAGGTTTTAATTCCCTAAGTCAGGCTCAGTGCCACCCCTTCTTCAATCTTTCCCCCTATTCCCTCCTCCCATCCCTATTCTCAAGCTATATAGTTCAATTTTTACCTAATGTACATTGAATATAATAACTGCATTTGCTCACTCTTCTGCCTGTATTTATGTGTCCCCCCCAATAATACACCTTTAAAAATCAATTCTAGCCAGGTACTGATGAATCACGCCTATAACCCTAGCTACTCACAAGGTTGAGATATGAGGATCATGGTTCAAAGGCAGCCCAGGCAGAAATGTACCCATGAGACTAGTATCTCCAATTAACCACTCAAACCAGAAGTGGAGCTGTGGCTCAAGTGGCAGAGTGCTATTAAAGAGGCTCAAGGAAAACGCCCAGCCCTGAGTTCAAGCTCCAAAATCGACCAAAAAAAAATCCTGGGCTGGGGAGGTGGCTCAGTGGTAGAGCGCTTGCCTTGCATGCCAGAGGCCCTGGGTTCGATTCCTCAGCACCACATAAGCAAAAAGAAAAAGCCAGAAGTGGTGCTGTGGTTCAAGTGGTAGAGCGTTAGCTTTAAGCTGAAGAGCTGAGGGACAGTGCCCAGGCCCAGAGTTCAGGCCCCACAACCGGACCCTCCCCCACCCCCCAAAAAATCCCTAATTCTTATAAAAGAAAAGTAGAAACAGTATCATGTTGGAAACTAATGGTTTCTATTTTTTTTTAATATCTAGCTGCCTTTCCAGATGAAGTTGGTGCTGGTGTTCCTGTGTCCCAGGAAGAACTTACTGCTTTGCTATACAAACCCCAAGAAGGAGAGTGGGGGGCTCATTCTAGAGATGAGGAGTGTGAACGGGTTATTCAGGGCATCAACCATCTTCTTTCCCTGGGTACGGTGAACATTAAAACATATTAAGAGAATCTAAAGGAGCTAAGAAAACCAGCCGATTTCTAAGTTCTACAAAAGAAAATACAGCTTATCACTGTAAACTTCACATTTATTTCAAAAGACACAATGATTCTAGTTTAATAACATTTTATATGCCTGGCTAAAATAATGCCTGATAACCTTTCTTAATACTCCAGGAGGATAATAGTGAAGGCAGGAATATAAGTGTCTTTTTTTTCCCCTTGAATTATTTTGGCTCTCAAGCTGTTTTCTGATTCTAACTTTGGAGGGGTTTGCTTGGTAAAGACAGTGGGTGAGTAATGTATTTTACTCAAATAAGTAGTTATATTTCCTAAAATATATCACTTGAGAATTTGGCATTTATACAGGAAAGACCTAGAAATCTGAAGTTCAACACATTGCTTCTTTTTTTTTTTACTTAGTTTAAACCAATGTATCTTGTATGATTTATAAATACTTATATCTGAACAAAAGAATAACATTTATATAATTGATTCACATTGTTTTAGAAATGTATTTTGCTCTCCCTTGTTTAAATATGAATGTTCATTAGAATGAAGTCTTGGTGTCCTCTATAAGTACTTTTTTTTTGTGTGTGTGTGTGTGGCAATTTTGTAGATTTTGCCAGCCCTTTTGCTGTTCCAGTGGATCTCAGTGCCTACCCCTTGTATTGTACTGTAGTTGCATATCCAACTGACCTCAATACCATCAGACGGAGACTTGAAAATCGCTTTTACAGGTTTGTTTACTTTTGCCATTTACTGTAAGTCAGTTTTGGTGTTTGCCCTTTTGAGATCTGTTTGTGTGTGTGTTTGTTCTAGTGCTAAAACTTGAACTCAGGGCCTGGGCACCGTCCAGGAGATTCTTTTTCTCAAGGCCAGTGTTCTACTACTTCAGCCACACCACCACTTTTTCTTAGTAGTTTATTGATAGGAGTTTCACAGACTTTTCCTGCCTAGGCTGGTTCACACCATGATCCTCAGATCTCAGTCTCTTGAGTAAGGTTGCAGGTATGAGCCACCAGCACCCAGTAAGATGCTGTTTTCATGATACAAAATAATCGTCTATACACTCACTTCAAGATTTATTCTATGAACTTGAAGCACTAATTTCCTTTTATTTAATAGATTCTTTTGCAAGGTGAAAAATAGTGAAGAAAAATTAGTTAAGCAAGAACACCACAAATTGTGTGTGTAGCACTTTAAAAAGATAAAGTTAATTTTAGTTTGTTTAAGGTAGATCAAGTAGTTTGTGAACTTTTGATTAATATGCTACATTGTTATGGAGAATGTTTCCATCCTCTTTGAAGAATTAGCTATTAATTAGGTTTATTAGTCCTAAAATATATTCAGGATCTATGTCCACTCCACTATAACTAGTATTGCATGAATCATTAGTCTGTCTGTTTTTTTTGTTGTTGTCGTCGTCGGTTGTGGGACCTGAACTCTGGGCCTGGACGCTGTCTCTCAGCTCTTCAGCTTAAGGCTAGCACTCTACCATTTGAGCCACAGTGCCACTTCCAGCTTTTTCTGCTTATGTGGTGCTGAGGAATAGAACCCAGGGCCTCATGCATGCAAGGACTCTACCACTGAGTCACCTTCCCAGCCCTAGTCTGCCTCTTATAACAAGAAATGATACATTTTGATCACATCATGTATTATATGACATAAATATAACCAGATAAAAATCTGTTATGTTTCTTTATTCTAGCTATTCCTTGTCTTGTTTTTCTTGGTGCTTCTCTTTTAACTCAGCATTACTGTGATTTTTATCAAACCACTTTTTGTTTGTTATCAAGTAATTCTTTACCCACACGGTGCTGCGTAAGATCTATGTTCTAATAGGTAGTCGAGTGATTTAAAATTCCTGCCTGTGGGAAACTACCATCCCTCTTGTCAATGTATACCAGTTATGCATATATATTTTGTCACATTCGTATATGTGAATTTTTTAAATTTCTTTTATCTTTAAGTAGTTGTACAAAGAAGTTCCCATTCTACAAAACAGTATATGAGTACAAAGTGTCTGACAACATTGTCACCCATCTCTCTTAACCATATATTGGAAATTTTTTGACATGAGTGCCTAAATTTATTCTGAGAATGTAATTTAAATGTAATAACCAAGGTTAACAGAATGCTTTTCTTTTATAGGAGAATATCAGCATTAATGTGGGAGGTGCGCTATATTGAGCATAATGCTCGGACTTTCAATGAGCCAGATAGTCCTATTGTTAAAGCAGCTAAAATTGTAACAGATGTCTTACTTCGATTTATTGGGTAAGAAACAGTTTAATCTCTCACAAAAACTAGTTTCTGATGTTTCAAACATATTCAAATTATTTTCAATTATCCTGTTTCTTAGGGATCAGAGCTGCACTGATATATTAGATACTTATAATAAAATTAAAGCAGAAGAACTAAACAGTACTGATGGAGAAGAGGTAAGACTCAGTACATGATGAGTAAGAAGTGGATTTTTTTCTGTTATTTTGAAGTTCAATAAATGTTATATGTAAATGTAATTGACTGCAACTATAACTAGTGGAATATTGTTGGATACTAGCTGAATATCTGCATTCTTTTTATATTCTTAAACCTACTCAAGTGAACTGTTCCAAAAAATTAATAGTGCTGTATAGCTTAGTAACAAACAAGTGGCTAATCATTCTATGCTACTCAGTGGGAGTGATGAGAAATTAACACTTTATTTTCTAGGCCTCAGAACAATGATTTAATTTAAGAATATTTTCTTGATAGTCTCTAAAACTATTACTTTTATTTTATTTTACAAGTATATATTTGAAGCACTTAAATGTTTGATAGAGTGACTACTTCATTGCTTTGTTAAAATGTGTAAATGTACACCAATCTCTTGTGAATGGAATGAAATTAGTATTCTCAATTGATTATCACACACTTGCTTTCTCCACATACCCACATCCCTAACTTATTTTCATAAAACCATAACTTAAACATGATTATTATCATTATTTCAAAATCTTTACTGGGAAACAATTCACCTGAGGAGCAAATGGCCACAATAATGTTGGAGTGGCATGAGATATTTTTCATATTTGTTATATCTATACTGATAATCTCTAGAATGGTAACCCTCCAATGCTGCTCTTATTTGCTTTTACAAGGTATATCTAAGTATAAAATATTGCATTATTGGAGCTAAATACTATGTAAAGAAAATTGAAATATTTATATAGCATAATAAATAAGCATAACTTCATTTTTATATAATTTACTATATAAATAAAAGTAAAAGAAATGAATAAATTGTATTTACACAGCATTTAACTATAAGGAAAACACACAAATTAGACAGTTCGCCTAATAAAACTCAAGACAAATTTGCTATTCATTTTCTTCATATGTTCTTGGGCCTTTAGAATAAGTTTATTTTAACTCAGGATTTTATATAACAAGAACATTTTCTCAGACTAGCATGATTTAGATAAGAACAGAAAATTAAAGCAAAATGTAATTCAACATCTTTATTCTAATACAAAGGAGTTCCAACAGCTCATAAACTGCGTAGATAACTCCTAGTTGTCTCAGTTCTCACAATGGTTCCTGTATCTTGACTTTGTTTTAACAAAACAATGTTTCAGTGAATCTCAGGATTAGTACACGTTTGTGTTTTTCTTATATAAAAAATGCATTTATTGGGCTGGGAAGGTGGCTCAGTGGTAGAGCGCTTGCCTTGAATGCATGAGGCCCTGGGTTCGATTCCTCAGCACCACATAAGCAAAAAGAAAAAAGCCGGAAGTGGCACTGTGGCTCAAGTGGTAAAGTGCTAGTCTTGAGCTGAAGAGCTGAGGGACAGCGCCCAGGCCCAGAGTTCAGGCCCCACAACTGACCCCCCCCCCAAAAAAAAAAACAAAAAAATGCATTTCTTGATATAGCAATGATTATGAATATTCTATAATTACTTTATATTAAATGAGAATGATACAAAATCCTTTCTTTTCTATTTTTTTTTTGTGTGTGTGCCAGCCCTGGGACTTGAACTCAAGGCCTGGGACTGTCCCTGCACAAAGCTAGTGCTCTACAACTTGATCTACAGCTCCACTTCTGGCTTTTTGGCAGTTAATTAGAAATCAGTTCAAAGCTTGCCCAGGCTAGCTTTGAACCTTGATCTCATCCCCCTGAGTAGCTAGGATTACAGGCATGAGCCATTGGCTCCCATCTAGAATGCATTTTTAAACTGTTTTTGGGTTTTGTTTTTTAATATATATTTATTGTAAAAATGTTGTACAGAGGGGTTATAGTTACATGAGTAAGGTAATGAGGACATTTCATAGTGCACATTGTTACCGCCTCCTTTGTTTTCCCCCTACTATCACTTCCCTCCCCACCTCCCCAACTCCTCCTGCCCCATCCCCACCCTGACATTGGAAAGTTCATTTTCAACATAGTGTCCTGTACATCTTGTTGTCACAGTGGGTCAGCCTGCATCCCCATTTAAGCATTCCCCAATATCCCTTCCCCTCCCCAAATTACAAACATGTATATACAAGGTGCAGAACATTGGCATCAAATCCAGTGAAAACAGGTTATACCATGGGGGAAAGAACATACAAAAGAAACAAAAGAATCACATAGTGCATTGTAAGTACATTAAAAACACTAGCAAGAAAGAAAAAACCACTTGGGTCCCTGTCTTGGGGAACATTTTGCTTAACATTATCTCATGTGGTCATATGTACATAACCTTTGATCTTCTCTACTTATCCTAGACATGTACTAGTCATTGCAAACAAGGGGAACCATGGGACCTATGTTTCTTTGGGCCTGACTTACTTCAGTTAATATAATTTTTTCCAAGTCTTTCCATTTCCTAACAAATGATGCAATGCCATTCTTTCTGACAGAGGCATAGAATTCCATTTTATATGTATACCACATTTTCTTGATCCATTCATCTACTGAGGGGCATTGGGGTTGGTTCCATATCTTAGCTATGGTAAATAAAGCTGTGATAAACATGGTTGTGCTGGTAGCTTTGGTATGACCTTGATTGTGATCGTTTGGGTAAATGCCCAAAAGTGGGATTTCTGGGTCATAAGGGAGCTAGCTCTATGTGGAGTCTTCTGAGGAACCTTCATACTACTTTCCAAAGTGGTGAACAAGTTTACTCTCCCACCAACAATGCAGTATTGGTTAAACACTTGTAGAAAACTAGAGCTAAATCCATATATATTACCCTGCACCAAAATCAACTCCAAATGGATCAAAGACCTTGAAATAAAAACAGACTCTATGAAAACATTACAGGAAGGAATAGGAGAAACTCTAGGGCTTCTTGGCACAGGCAGAAATGTTCTTAATAGAGACCCATCAAAGAAAGGTTGGACAAATGGGATTGTTTGGTTTTTCTGGTCTTTTTTGGTACTGGAGATTGAACCCAGGATGTTGCACTTGCTACGCAAGCACTTTGCCAGTGAGCTGCATTCCAACCCTTGAATACATTTTTTTTTCCAGTCGTGGGGCCTGAACTCTGGGCCTGGGTGCTGTCCCTCAGCTCTTCAGCTTAAGGCTAGTGTTCTATCACTTGACCACAGTGCCACTTCTGGCCTTTTCTGCTTATGTGGTGCTGAGGAATTGAACCCAGGGCCTCATGTATACAAGGCAAGCACTCTATCACTGAGCCACCTTCCCAGCCCTAGAATACATTTTTTAAGGAACTAAAACTTTCAAGATACAAACTTCTACACAATATCTTTTCCCCTCCTTTCTATATTCTTAGTGATATATCTTGTTTAGATATTCTCTCTGTGTATTTACTTGTTTTCTAACTCAATAGAATATTGGCAAAATTTTGATTGTCTTCTCATAAATAAGCCTTTGTTCTGATCCAATAAGAGAAAGCAATACATGATTATATTTTCCATTTATTTGTAAATGTTCATCTAATTTGTAAGCGTTTGACTGTAACTTTACATCTGCTTCTGTCCCCTTTAATTTAGGATACAGAAATGGTTGATTTAGATTCAGATGGTCCTGGCACATCATCTGGACGAAGGGTAAGTAGATTAGTGAATTTCTGAGTAGAAAGTTTTTCAGACTTCCTATGCTGGGGATCCCAAAGACAATCACAGGAAGAGTCTAGAGGAATCATGTGCAGGTTTTCATATTCTCTCCCTCTCTTATAAGGAGAGTGAAGTTAGAATGACATTTGTGTGATTAGAGATGGGTCCCCAAGGATTTTATTAGAGACTCACTATGTAGGTACCCTCTGACTAGTATGTACCATGATTTTAGATTTGTAAACGGAAAGCAGGTATTCAGTGCTTATCACATTGTTTATACTAAGTACAGTAAATCACCTTTATAATTTAAGAAACAGGTGAAATACTGAAAATGTTTCCCAGTCCCAGTAAATGGTCAACATTTTAAGTCAAGTTGTTCTTGAAGAGGAGAAAGCATTTTATTTTTATTTGAGGTTCAGACTACCTTAAAATGAAAATTAAGCCAGGTGCTGGTGGCTCATGCCTGTAATCCTAGCTACTTAGGAGACTGAGACCTGAGGATTGAACCTTTACCAGCCTGTGCAGGAAGGTCTGTGAGACTCTTATCTCCACTTAACCACCAGAAAACTAGAGCTGGCACTGTGGCTCAAGTGGTATCATGCTGGCCTTGAGCTGAAGAGCTCAGGGACAAGACCCAAGCCCAGAGTTCAAGCCTCACACCCACCAAAAAAAAAATTAAGAATACTTGAATTCTTGCCATTTACTTGAAGGCAACACCTAGTTTATGTTTATGTAATTTTTACTAGAGAAAATAATGTCTACATTAAAAATTAATTAAATAGTCCTCTATTTTACAAAATACATGAATACTTGGGGTTTATGAGAATATCAATGAAGAGTTAAGGCAAAAGCTTTTAGTTGTTTTTTTTTTTTAAATAGGTCAAATACCGAGGCAGGAGACAATCTTTAAAGTTAAATCCTGATGCTTGGAGAAAACAATGCAAAGAACTATTGAGCCTCATTTATGAACGTGAAGATTCAGAGCCATTTCGACAGCCAGCTGATCCTCTTTCTTACCCAGTAAGCACACAGTTGTGTAAATAATTACCAACATACTCATTTCCCATAACTGTCCATGCTAACAATTTCCCTTCCTCCCTCCCAACTTTTTTTCTTTCCATACTTTATCTCCTTCTTCTGTCTTGTGAGTTCTCATGACTTTATAAAATACTTGTTATGTATTGAGTATGTAAATTATACAGTTGTAAGCCATATTTAAATCAGTTTTTACATTCCTTCCTGCTTTTATTTCAGATATTTTAAGATGTACATTTTTTTTTGCCAGTCCTGGGACTTGAACTCAGGGCCTGGGCACTGTCTCTCAGCTGCTTTTGCTCAAGCTAGCATTCTACCACTTGAGCCACAGCACCACTTCTGGCCTTTTCTGGTTTATGTGGTACTGAGGAATCCAAGCCCAGGGCTTCCTGCATGCTAAGCAAGCACTCTACCACTGTGCCACATTCCCAGCCTCAAAATATACTAAATTCTAATACATTTCTATACAATGTAGATACTTGGTGAGACATCAGTTCTGTTTAATTTATACCAAATATGTTATTCATATGGCCACTTGATACAACAGCTGTTAATATACACAACTATTTTCATCAAAGATGAAAGTATGAGAACTCAGATTATAGGATATTCTTTTGACACAGCATCTCAATAATTAGTCCAGCCTAACCTCAAACTGTAATCTTTCCTCTATCTTCTGACTCCTTGAATTACTGATGTACACTGCCGTACATACTTTTTAGGATTCCTTTTCTAAGAGTCTATTTACGTAAACATTTAATTACGTTTTAGACAATCCATTTTAACTTTTCTAGAGAAATGGTTTGTAAAAGAATACATCACCTTTACAACAAAATTAAATTAAAGAGAATATATACATAAAGTATTCAAAAAAGCTTGATTTATTTGTAGATTCGGGTATAATACTGTCATTTTTATTAATGTATCTTTGAACCTTAAGTCTTACAAGTCTTGATATTTTGTATTGGTGTTCTCAAAATACATATATATTGTTTTACTCTAATAGGGCCATCAAGAACAAGAAGGAGAGTCCTCAGACTCGGTTGTAACAGAAAGACAAGACTCTTCTCTTTCTGAGGTAGGCCTAGGAATCTCTTTAAAAACATGCTGATTAGGGGCTGGAAAGGTGGCTTAGTGGGAGAGTGCTTGCCTAGCATGAATGAAGCCCTGGTTTCGATTCCTCAGTACCACTATACACAGAAAAAGCCAGAAGTAGGGCTGTGGCTCAAGTGGTAGAGTGCTAGCCTTGAACAAAAGAAGCTCAGCAACAGTGCCCAGGCCTAGAGTTTAAGCCCCAAGACTGGCAAATAAAACCCCATGCTGATTGTTTTGTATTTTTACTTTTTAAAATCTCCATACTGGAGTCTGGGAAGGTGGCTCAGTGGTAGAGCGCTTGCCTTGCATGCATGAGGCCCTGGGTTCAATTCCTCAGCACAACATAAACAAAAAGAAAAAAGCCGGAAGTGGCGCTGTGGCTGGTAGAGCGCTAGCCTTGAGCTGAAGAGCTGAGGGACAGTGCCCAGGTCCAGAGTTCAGGCCCCATGACCAGACCCCCCGCCCCCGCAAAAAAATCTCCATACTGTACATGAACTGTTTGTGATTTATTATTACCCCCCTCTGTTTATTTTTTAACCTTTGTTTCTTTTCTTGGTCATGATTTATTTTTTGTTCTTTAAATCAACTTATTCTCTTTAAATCAACATATTCTCAATATTTTTTATAGAATACATGTAGATATCTATTTGGTCATATAGATCTAAAGGTACCGCAGCATAGTCAAAAACATTAATTGCACAATACTTTGTCTATATTACAGTTGATTATTCACACAGATAATTTACTTTGGCTGGTTTAACTCTGAGTTTTTTTAAAAATCATATTAACATGAATTCTAAAATTTTTCTCTATGGAAGTATTAAGTACTTTATAAGCCATATTGTGTTGGAGTGCACTTTGACTATTTGACTTAACAAAATGAGATATGTTTAGAATAAATGTTGTTTCTCATATTTTTGAAAATATGTAATCCTTTTTAGTTTTTTTTCTATCTCTTCTTTGGCTATGAGGCTTTTAGAGGAAAGTTTATTAATGAATCAAAGTAGGATAAGTGGGCTAGTACTGTTTTCACTTCAAAACTTACATATTGAGAGTTAGTTATTCCCTGTGATAACCCTACAAAAACATTAAGTAAACTTGAAAAGATTTAAGTTAAAATAGAATCTTCTCTCTCCTGTAATCACAATTTAACTAAATTCTGGACCTATGAGATAAAAGATCCTTAGCTGAAAGATCAATTAAAAAATCAAAACTGGGCATGGCACTATCCACCCGAAATGCCAGCTCTTATAAGGCTAATGAAAGAAGATTGTGAATGTATGGCCAACCTGGATTATATGAGACCCTGTCTCACAAAAGAAAAAATTCCAAAAGAAGCCCAAACATGGCTCAGTTCACTTGGACCTTCAGCTAATATTTTAAGTAGAATATCTTTATATCTGAGCATCTTGTAAATACCTAGTTGATTTGTGGAGTGAAATTATTGTATTATGCCCAAATAATCCCCTAATTTTTTTGTAAATTTTAGCAAGGACTAATTTTAGTGTCTAACAGGATAAATTTTAAAAGAAGGAAACATCGTTTGCTGTTATAAAGTACTTTGCTGAGGTGTTATAAGTTGCACCTTTTTGGCCTTAAATGGACTTCCATATAAAGGACTCTCTAGACTCAAGCCTCTGATAATGGATTTTTCTGTTGTAATGTTCAGTCATTTCTGGTCATTGACTGCAATGTAAAATCTCCAACAGAACTTTACCATTTCAACAAGCATCAAAAAATGGTTTAGGCTGATTATTTCAAGGTGAATTGTTCAATAGGTAATGCAAATCCCAATTCCATCGTGTTACTTAATACTGTTTTGTGGCTTCAGTGTTTCAATATAATGCATTGTTCTTTATAGGATAATCATGATGTTATAGACACGCCTATGGACTTCAGCACTGTGAAAGAAACTTTGGAAGCAGGAAACTATGGTAGTCCTCTGGAATTTTATGAGGATGTTCACCAAATATTTAGCAACTCCAAAGCTTATACCTCCAATAAAAAGTCAAGGGTATGAAAATTAATATTAGATGGGTTAATTAAGCATTTAATTAGATATTATGTGTGTAAATATATATGTTGGGCAGTTCTCTTTCAACAGTTTTATGACAACTATATATTAGAATTCTAATATCCTAATATTTAGTTGCCAAACAATCACTGGAACTGTGACATAGTTACTGAGGTATGATTCAAGATCTGAATATGGATTGTCCCTTTATTATATAACAAGAAGTGCTCAAATATAATATTTCTGTTTTATCACAATTTGAAATACCTTGCAGAGAGATGTAATAATCATTTTTGTCTTTGAAGTAATATCTGATTAACTTGTAAAAAGTTCCATGATAGGTATATATTTGCTTATTTCTACCTTATATAAAATGAATCATCCCTAATTTCTTAGACATAAGTTTTTCTCACATTTGCTTTCCCCAGCATTGTTCATAATTAAGGTAATTTCCATAGAAAGTTAAAAAATAAAATGTCCTCATATAATTTAGAAGGGTCTTTTTTTCTCTGCATTTCACAGCCATAAACATTACTTTCAAATGTATTAATGAATTCTTTTTAGTGAAAGTAGTATCTTAATTCCTCAGAAGAACTTTTCAAGTAAATAGTGTATATTTTTGTCTGGAACTAGTGATGCTGATATTGATCAGGCATGGTTTGTTTTTTGGCAGTTCCTGGGGCTTGAATTCTCAGCTTGGGCTCTGTCCCTGAACTTTATTTACTCAAGGCTAGTGCTCCACCACTTGAGCCACAGCACCACTTCCAGTTTTTGAGTGGTTAATTGGAGATGAAAGTCTTATAGGGACTTTTCTGCCCAGGCTTGCTTCAAACTACTATCCCCAGATCTTAGCAGTAGCTAGGATTACCAGCGTGAGCCACCAGCTCCAGAAATTTATTTATATACATATCTGGAAAACCATGACTACAATTTTTACATTTTTCAGATCTACAGCATGACACTGCGATTATCTGCCTTATTTGAAAATCATATTAAAAATATCATCTCTGAATATAAGTCAGCAATGCAGAGTCAGAAGAGGAGAAGGCCTCGGTACAGAAAACGTCTGAGAAGCAGCAGCAGTTCTTTATCAAGTAGCAGAGCACCTAGGTATATTACATTGGTACAGCATTTTATGTTCTTAAAGTGTTTGTATTACCCTATTTCTCAAACTTTATTAACAATTGGAGGAAATCCCAAAAGATCTTTATTTAGAACTCTAGTGTTTATAAAAAAGTGGATGTGGTAACACAAAATACTGTTTATGTGAAATTTAAATGGACGAAACTTCAAGTGTGTGTGTGTGTGTGTGTGTAAAATTTTATTTTTTCTTGGTTGTGAGGCTTGAACTCTGGGCCTGAGGTATGTCCCTGAGCTCTTCAGCTCAAGGTGAGCCCTCTACCATTTGAGACACAGCACCACTTCCAGTTTTCTGATTGTTTATTGGAGATAAGAGCCTCAGATTTTTCCTGCCCAGGCTGGCTTTGAACCACAATGCTTAGATCTCAGCCTCCTGAGTAGCTAAGCTTATAGGCGTGAACCACTGGCACCCGGCTCAAAAAAATATTTTAATGATTAATGTTTAACTGACAAATAACCAATTTGAAATGTTTCAGTTGAACTTCAGGCTTTATTTTTGCAGCTTAGTCATGCTGTTTATTGTAATGAGTTACTAACAGAAAAAAAATGCTCATCATTATTTCTTTTTACTTGCAGTCCAAAAGGGAAACAGAAGCAATTAAAGTTACAGCCTAAAACGGACCAGAATACCTCAGTGTCTTATGTCAGAACTAGTTCCCCTTTCTCATCTCCTGGTAAATAGTGTTATTTTTATGTACCATTTCTAAGTTTAATATCCATATTAGCTGTATAAAAGGAACTCTGATTTTTATACTGCAAAAAGCAATAGATTTGGATTTAGAAAACAGTATTTTGTTCACACTTCTACTTATTAGTTATATAACCCTGGATAAAATAACAGGAAATAAGAGTTTCATGGACTTCCCTGCCCAGGCTGGAAACTAGTATCCTCAGATATCATTTCCACCCCTTCCCCTAGTAGCTAATGATTATAGGTATAGCCAGTAGCACCTGGCTTGCATGATTTTGTAATACCTATAATATATCTGAGAATTCATGTATAATATGCCAGTATAGCACATGATTATTCAATATGTGTTAGAGGTATTCATCTGGAAAAGTTTTTCTGATACTTTGTATTTGTAAACTTGGTGATGATAAAGCTTTTGTTTTAGACAAGGTCTTGCTATGTAGCCCAGGGTAGGTTAACAATGCTTTTGCCTCTACAAGTTCTATGATTACAGATAAAAGACACTAAGCCGAGTCCCATATTTCCTTCTAGAAAAAATTTGTGCGTTTTGGTTTAATGTAGAATAACTGAGAGGGACTTTTAAGATCAGTGTAGAAATGAATTTGTATTAACATCACAACCTTTTAAAATGCAAGTTTCAGATACTGCTGAAGGACTTCCACTATATCTAATTGATGATGAACTGGATGGGCCATTTTCTTCATCAAGCTTAAGTGGATATGGCCGAAGTGGTAATAGCCATGACCCAGGGAAAGCCAAATCATTTCGGAATAGAATTGCACCAGTTAAACAAGGTAGGAAATAAATATGGTACACATTATTTATTTATTTGGTATTTGTATTGTTATTATAAAGATGATGTACAGAGTATTACAGTTACATAAATCAGGTAAAGGGGACATTTTTTTTTAGACAGTGTCACCCCATCCCTTGCTCTCTCCCATATATATATATATATATTTTTTTTTTTTTGGTCCGGTTGTGGGGCCTGAACTCTGGGCCTGGGGACTGTCCCTCAGCAATTCAGCTCAAGGCTAGCGCTCTACCACTTGAGCCACAGTGCCACTTCCGGCTTTTTTCTTTTTTGCTTATGTGGTACTGAGGAATCGAACCCAGGGCCTCATGCATGCAAGGCAAGTGCTCTACCACTGAGCCACCTTCCCAGCCCCTCCCATATTTTTTTCCTCCTATCCCCACTCACAAGTTGTATAGTTCATTTTTAACTTGTGAATACCACTGCTGCATTTGTTCACTTTGTTGTTTATTTTTTATGATGAAAGATTAGTCCAAAAACTGATGTGTTGAAAGTAGTAAAACTAGTATGTCCTTTTTACTTGATGTTGTCAGTGGGAATCAGCTTAGACTTCATATCTACAACTAGGAACAACCCATTAGTGGATTTCTGGTAACTGTTCTGAAACATTATTTGGTCTTTCAAAATGTTAAATGAAATGAATAGAATGAAAAATCAAGTAAGGAATTATTTTCCCAATCACACAGGAACCATACTGTTAGGAGTTTTCAAATATTAACCATGTTAATAAAGGAAAAAAGTTTCCAAGGTGGTCTTTAAATAAATATTAAATATCCTATTGGGAATAGAAGAGGGAGGGGGGCTCTTCCAGTAAAAAAAAATGGCCTATGTTGAAAACTGATCAGCCTTTCAATCAATACCCACTTCTATCTTCCTATGATGTTTTAGTTATATAGCTGAGATACTATCTCCCTAGGCCTACCATGTCAACAACCCAGTGGCTTTCTGATGGTACTCGAGGAAGTTTCAGAGGAGCATTCCCCATTTTAGTAGTACAACTGATTTTATTTCATGTAATGAGCCATTACCACTAAAATACAAATTTTAAGAGCAAGACTTTGTTTCCTTCATCACCATGTTCCAAGCTTTCTAGCAGTGCTTGGCCTATCGTAGGTAAATATTTGCAAGTATGTGAGTGGAACCCTGGATTCATGTTACCGCATAATTCTGACTAGTTAACCTCACCATCTGACAGTCTGTCTCCATATACCCTGCCCCCTAAGAAAGAGCAGTCTGGTACAAATCAAAACTTCAGTATCTTCCATTTCAAACAGGCCCTTTCTTAGTTCAACACTTTCCTTCGTGTCATCAAATCTGTGTTGGGGCACCAGTTTTGTAAATGAGCTGTTTTTCTTCTCAATGTAAATGATCATTATATCAATGTCACAACTTAACTTTAAAAAAATCTTTTGATTTAGATCACTCCACTGATGGACCTCTTACAAATGGTGATGGCAGAGAAACTTGGCCAGGAATCAAGAGAAAACTACTTAGTGCATCAGAAGAAGATGAAAGCATGGGAGGAGAAGAAAAAGCAAAAGAAACAAAAGAGAAATCCCATCTATCCTCCTCAGAGAGTGGAGAGTTAGGATCCAGTTTAAGTTCAGAAAGTACTTGTGGTTCTGATTCAGACTCTGAATCAACCTCCAGAACAGATCAAGATTATGTAGACGGAGACCATGACTATAGCAAATTCATACAAACTAGACCTAAAAGAAAACTCAGAAAACAGTATGCCAATGGAAAAAGAAACTGGAAGATGAGAGGCACAGGAGGAAGAGGCAGATGGGGTAGATGGGGCAGATGGAGTAGAGGAGGCAGAGGGCGAGGAGGCAGAGGGCGAGGTGGTCGAGGAAGAGGTAGTAGTAGTAGTACTAGGGGGAGAGGGAGAGGGAGAGGAGGAAGAGGGACCTCTAGAGGAGCCACCAGAGCCAAACGAGCACGTATCACAGATGACGAATTTGATACAATGTTTTCGGGACGTTTCAGTAGACTGCCTCGAATTAAAACAAGAAACCAAGGCAGGAGGACTGTTTTATATAATGATGATTCTGATAATGATAATTTTGTGTCCACTGAAGATCCTCTGAATCTTGGTACATCCAGGTCAGGCAGAGTACGAAAAATGACAGAAAAAGCCAGGGTTAGCCATCTCATGGGATGGAATTACTAACAATAAATGTAGAATAATTTAAAAATTCAATGGCCTTCTACTGCAGGGAATTACCAGGAAATCTTCAAAGCAAGTTGTGTGGGGACTTCTGCTTCCTTTCACATTGGTGCTTTTTCCATTATGCCAGTATATATTTGTTTCAAGACTTTTGATCTCCACACTTCATTTGTCCAAACAAGCCTTACTCATTGGGCCTTAAATTAAAAGAAAAATCTGCCCACATACACACACCCACATACACACACACACACACACACACACACCAGACACACTACAGATTTAACTACATTAAAGGAGCATTCCGCTTCTTAAGAGTAGCATGACATTTTTATTGCAATGGAATATCCCTCTTTTGCTTTTGTATCACAGACGTATAGCACCTTCTTACAGAGTTTTATATAGTTTGTTTTTGCCATTTTGATTCCTATACCCAGTAATAATAACTTTTGCACAATACACCAATCCTAAAGGCAGCTATTAAATGTTTACAGTTTCTATATTGTAAGAATGATCTGGATTATTTTACGCTTCCCAGGCCAAACTTTCGCGAACTGTACTGAACTGAAGTATATATTTATACTGCAGTTTTTTGGGGGGTTGGGGGGAATCTTGATATGCTTTTCATTGATTTGCTTAATTCACGTTAAAGGTGAGAAAGGGTTGGTGCCTTGTAAATATGTAGCAAATCATTGTGGTGTGTCCTGATGTGTGCATTAACTTTATTAAAAGAGAATACTTGAGGTATCAATCTAGACAAGGTGCCAAATGCAAAAGTTTCTTGCATCCATTTTCTTTTTTTTCTGTTATATTTTATTGCATTAGTAGAACTGTGTAGCTTAAAGAATAACTTAAACATTTGAAAAAATCCTCATGCACAAAGAATAACTCTGAATAGTAGCTAAGCTACCTCTATTAACTACAACTACTGGAAAATAGATGCTGTTACTCATGACTAAGGAGAAATAGAACAAGCTTGGTAGGAGTGAATACTCTTTTAAGTTATAAGCTGAAAGGTTGTTAATAATCATATTGGCTCTCCAATTAATAACTCTATTTCCTAAATATCATATACTCTACCATAGGCTTCTTAGAACATATTTGTGTGAGTAGACTTGTGCTACTGCTTACATTTCTGCTACCACTTACTTTTTTTAACCAGCTGTGAGTTACTAGTTTTCACTTGACTCTTAAAATGTAACAAAACACCTAATTTGAGTTGGAATGCTTTGGCTAGCTAATATTTCGAATCAACAATAATTTCTGCTTTTACCATTCCAAAGGGTTCTTCTGTTTTAGTCTTTCAGCAAAGGACCTCATTGACTGCTCACAGATACTTTGATTGAATCATTATTTTATTGATAAATCTTTAAAATTTTTTATGTTCTTGTTTACAGCAGTAGAGTGCACATGATTCCATAAGTGAGCTTGAGCTCCAAGTTCATTTTTACCCCTCAAAATTGAGATTGCAGATTTGCTAGTTTGTTAGATGCTTAAAATTTTTGAAGTGAGGATGATAATGATCTTTCTTTTTGACATCACATTGTTGCACTTAGATCAAATTTATGTGAGAAAACAGACTTCTTAATGTAAACCTAATTATCCCAGGATATTTATTGAGCTCATGTGTTTGTCTCATGCTTTCAGTCATTTCATGCATCTGAAAATCCTTAAGTACAGAGGAAGGAGTACACACATAACTTTGCTTTTGGGGTTGGGTTGGGGGGTTACTCTTGGACTAACATCTTTAAGCAATTTTCACTTGCAGTAGAAATGATGTTCAGGCTTTAAGAAAGTATTGTGAGTTGTTAATGGCACTAACTGCTGTTACTAGATAGTAGAACTAGATCAACCTGATATTTTTTTGTTGTGGTCTTTTTTTTCTAAACCAAAACTGTTTCTAGTTATTACTCAGCTGCCATTTGTATCCATAAGTATAGGTTCAAAACATTTTTATTTGAAATTCTACATTCGATTTTTGCAAAAGTGTACTATTTCATTTATTCATCTCGGGCATTTAAATTGTGCCTATATTTTCCTGGAATCAATAACTCTTTGGCCTAACCGAAAGTGTCATAGTTGCTTAAATTCCTGACTATACCCAAATGTGTATCATGTATATCATTATAGTGTTGAATTTTTTTTGTTGCCATTCTTCTATGAAGAGCTGACCTCTTGAACTATAGAAGAATTGCCATTTGTTTGACTTTTAGCTATCTGGAGCTTTATTTATAATTTATTTTGAAAAAATACAAATGCCACATTTATTCCAAAATGTCAAGATTTCCTAGGTTTAGGTGATTAGAATAATAAGGCTGGAGACATTTTTAAACATATTTTATATGTAGTGAAATACTGTGAAAATACTAGTGAACAGCATTTTGCTGTAATGTTGATTTCAGTTCTTAGGATTCAAAGAGTTAGTCACCAGGATATGTTAGATGAGCAGTGATCATTTATTATTAAAAAACAGGTAATTTTCTGTTTGCATGCAAATTATTTTGGTAAGTGTGACAATAAGTCTGGGAGATAGTATTTTTATGTTTTTATTTGGACATCCCACCCCAATTTATACATTGCATTTTTTAATTTAGTAATACCACCTTCTGTGAATGTGTTATGATTTGTATCACATTGAATACTTTATCATTTTACCTTTTTAGGGCCCCTTAAACCTAAATAAGATCTGAGTTCAGCAATAGCAAAGCAATTAGGAAATAAGCTAAGAATTCTAAGAAAAACCACTGTTACATTAGACCCATGAGAGCATACACATATATAAGCCTAGTCCTATGCTAGATATGAATAGTCAGTAAGCTGTAATATTTATCATGAATGCTAATAATGTTTAAATTCCTAGCTTTAAGACCTTAGCATATGTATATATTTATAAAAACTGAATCATGGCTTTGCTGTATGTATCTCATCCAGCAGTAGGACGCTCTCCCAAACAATCAGTAACCTACTAGCCTAATGACTAAATTTGTTTTTGTACATGTATGTGTGTAGTTGTATGTATGTAGCTTTTATTTCCAGTTTGACATACCTTATCTCAGACATTAAAAAAGAGAATATTTTATATGGAGGACCCTGTCTACCAATTCTTTGCTCTTAGCCTGTGTGTTTCCTAATTCTTGATCATTTCATTTCATTATGCCTTCCAGATAACCACCCAGGTTTTATCATGTACCTGTGTCCTTCTGTTTTAATTTGCCCTTTTGTTTATTTTTCCCCTTTCCATCCCAAGAAATCAGGCTTGTTCTAGAATTCTTAGGTACAGCACTTTGACCCAGAGGCAGAGAAGCTGGGTAATATAATTTTCATTCAGCACAATTATGTGCCCATATATCTAACTCAACCTTCCAACATTTTGAAGTACACTTAAATGATCTATCTTTTGTTGTTTTTATTTTATTCATGTAGAGATTGTCATCAGACTAACAGAGTGATTGAAAGATGTGAATGCCACTTCTAACTTTTGATAAAGCTTTTTTGAGCATTTTTCAAAATTTATATGTTTGTGGTAATGACAAACACCTTATTACTCACTTCCGTATCTCGGGAATCATTTGTGCATATTTGCCAACTGGTATTTCAAAGTTGGAATTTTCACATACACAAAAGAAGACTTAAATCATACGTAATTTTCATTATAACTTGATATCCAGCCTATTGAACAAGTATAGTAATATTTTTAATTCTGAAATGAGTAGTGTAGTTCTCGGGGAAGGGATTGGACTTTTGACCTCTACAATCTAGTGTTTTGAAAGGTAACCCCATCCCTAACATTTTTGTGGTACATGAGGCTTTATTAATATTTTATTGAAAAGAGAGTATTCTGAGATCACTTTTAAAGTTTGTTTTAAAAATCATTGGGACAATGGTTTCATGCTTTGCTTGCTTTTCATCTTTTCTCAAAATTTCCTTACTAAGGTTTGATTACCAATTTACAAAGTTTTGGTTAAAATCCGATATAAAGTTAAATTTTTTCATGGTGCTGTATTTTGTGAAATATTGATAGCACTCAGGTTTCTTAATATTTATTTCTTATATAGCCTTACCCTTGATTTCTTTTTCATCTTTCCTCTTCTGCTTCCTTTTATCCTCACTTCTCTTTCTGTGATGAAGACTGCACCTAACATAGTACACTTCCAAAAAGACTGGAAATTTCTGATTCATTGATGGGAGAAGTATAGTAGAAAGGCCCTGCAGTTTAGAGTTAAGGTGTGTTTGTTTATTTATATGTATTCCCATTTGTTACTCTCATACCTATCTAGAATATGAGACTTCGACATCTAAAAGCATGATAAGTATTTTCTAAAAAATAAAAATAAAAACTATTGATACATATTGAAATCGCCATTGGTAATTGACTTTTTAAATTGCCTACAGAAATACCTAGAAACCCAGTTGGGAAATGTGTTTTTACGTATGTCACCAAGTACACAGGCAGTACTACAAATGTATTTCTTTAAACAATACTGTGGTGATGGCAATCAGTAATTTATTTCTTTGTCCTGTAACTTATCATCCTTGTCTTTTGTAATCCTTTACACAGTATTAACAAAACTGTATCTTATGTTTGTTCTTAGTATCCACAAGTTTAAATATGGAAAAATTCAGTTAATAGTTGATGTGATGTTGTATATGGGCAAAATGTCCATTAAACTAAAATTCAGTAAAAAACAAAAAAGGTGAACTAAAGTGGCTTGGTTTATAAAAGATGTTTTATTTGGCAGTTGTCAGTTGTTATAAGCAATTACCTTCAAGAAAACTGGACTAATTCGTTGCCATTCTTTATGGGATGTTTACAATAAAATTCCAAGTTGTTTGGAATCGATTGCACTCTTGCTTTATGCCTTAAGTCATGTATCTGAGATAAATGGAGCAGAAAGAAATGTGGAATTACCTTTCTCTTTTCCAGCTTCAGTGATTGTAACATGTAATTCTTTAGACTTTTCATTCTTGTTTCTTTGTCATAGAACTTTTTTTGCTACCATTTTTAATCTGAAAATAATAGGGTGTTTCATATAAAAGAAAATATTTTTCTCTAGTTAATGCAAGTTTTCATTGGGTTACTTTTAAGTAATAAATATGATGTTGATACTTCAAATGTGGGCTGCTTGGTGCCTTCAATAGCAGCCTGCAACTCACTAGTAGTCAGTTCTTGTAGAGCTTTTCAAAGTAGGTAGATTAATAATATATTTATGGTTTATAAATTTTAAGAGTTGAGCTATGGATGGATCCCTGGAATTTTTTATTTGTGATCAACTTGTTTACAAACTTGAACTATATTGTAAAATGGTGCTTTCATTCACTGTAAGTATAGGACAGAGAAATGATAGGTGAATTTTGAACCTGGATATGAATGTCCTAACAGGAACATTCATCCCAGTTCTCAAACTCTATAGTTACTTAGAATTATCCCAGTGGCAAGAATTCCTACAGGTTAAACATCAATAAGCTGAGTAAAGACTGCATCTTCTAAATATGCTATTTTTTGTCTAGAATTAGGCAATAAGATATGTAGAAATAGATCACCTTTCCCTTTTAACATGAGCTGCCATTGGCTATGAAACTAGCCATGTTTCCTCAGAACACAGATTGAGGTGGAGATACTTGTTTAATGTTTTTTGTTTAGTTGCTTGATTTGTTAAAGACAGACCTCTTTAAAGATGTAAATATATTACTTAAAAAATTAATTGTTAGGCTGGTTTTCTTCACCCTCTAGGTTTTAAAAAATAGAAATACTAAAGAATTTGTATGATAATATTTAGAAGGTCATTTTTCCTAGTTGAGAAAATCAATAAAGACTGCTTTCTGCCCTCTCTATTAGATACCATCAGCTACTTAAAGCTACTTTCCAAAAACTTTATAAAAATAAATTGAAACCAACATACTGAGCCTGTGAGTTGATTATTTTTAAGTGGGATTTTTTGGTGGTATAGTTCATCCCATATGCTTACATTTGTAGTCTTTAAGTCTTTTAAGTACATAGGGATTTGTTTTTATGCTCCTGCTGAGGATGATCAAATACAGTATTAAATAAAATGAAGGTTTTTAATTTGTTTTTTTGGTCAGTCATGGGGCTTGAACTCTGGGCCTGGGCACTGTCCCTCATCTCTTCAGCTCAAGGCTAGGGCTCTCCCTCTTGAGCCACAGCTCCACTTCCAGCCTTTTCTGTTTATGTGGTGCTGAGGAATCAAGCCCAGAGAGTCATGCATGCAAGTCAAGCGCTCTACCACTGAGCCACCTTCCCAGCCCAGCCCAAAAAATGAAGTTTTTAATCTCAAAAAGTTTCAATTTGGGAGTAACCAGATTTTTTTCTTTGTTACTTTTAGTAGATTTTCCTAGTCCTCTTGAAATTTTCTCCAATTAACCACTGAAAAGCCATAAATGGATCTGAGGCTCAAGTGGCAGAATGCTAGCCTTGAGCAAAAAAGCTCAGGGTTAAGCTCTAGGACAAGCACACAAAACAAAATCCCCAATATTGTAACTGTCACCCTCTCTACAGCATCTTTACAATAAATTTTTTTTTAAATCCCCAATATTGCTTAGTTTAGGCATTAATAGGGCTTATTTGTAGGGATCGTTTGTTGCTGTTTCATCATGTTGATTTTCTAATTAGAACTAATATTAGCGGTTTTTGTATAATTATTTTAGAGAGCTATTTTATTACTCTTTAGATATTACTTACCTAAAATAATAAACTAGTTGTTTCCACATGTATAAAAAAAGATAATTTGGCTGGCTGCTGGTGGCTCTTGTCTGTAATCCTAGCTACTCAAGAGGCTGAGATCTGAGGATCACAGTTCAAAAGCCAGCCCAGGCAGGAAACTCTGTGAGACTTATCTCTAATTAACCAGCAGTGGTAGAGCTCTATCCCTGAACAAAAGAACTCAGTGACAGTGCCCAGTTCCTGAGTTCAAGCCTCATGACCAACCAAAGCACATGATGTGTCTTGCTGACATTTTCAGTCACTACCAAACATTCAATTCTAGAGGTAAGCCATTTTATTTTATTTTTAAATGTGGTTAGTAGTTATCATTCTAGAAACAAAGGCTATTAAACCCAAACAAGCTGGGTGGCTAACTCCTATAATCCCAATGACTGGAGACAGATCTGACAAGTCCAAAGTTAGCCTAGTCGGACAGATCTGCGAGACCAGCAAAAAGCCAGGAAAGGATATTTGGCTCAAGCCTTGAGTGAAAAAGCCATGAGTTCAAGTTCCAGTACAAGTACACACACAAAAAAAGCCAAAGCCAAACAATTCTTTGTTGAAGGTACATTTCTGCTTTCTGATCACTTCAAAATTCTAAGATTCATGTAATACTATTGTTCAAAGTACTAATCTTGTATCACTTTGCTTATAGCTGCCCACAATGAAATTGTCATCTGAAATGAGTCATATTACTTAATTAGATTTATATGGCATTCTCATTCATAGAAGATACTGACCAGCAAGAGTTTGTAGCCTACACTCATTTCTCCTTTTATTAGTGGTAAGAAATAGATACAGGAGCCTGGTGCCGGTGGCTCACGCCTGTAATCCTAGCTATTCAGGAGGCTGAGATGTGAGGATCGCAGTTCAAAGCCAGCCCAGGCAGGAAAGTCTGTGAGACTCATATCCAATAAACCACTAGAAAACCGGAAGTGGCGCTGTGGCTCAAGTGGTAGAATGCTAGCCTTGAGCTGAAGAGCAGACGGACAGCACCCAGGCCCAGGGTTCAGGCCCCACGACCTGCAAAAAAAAAAAAAAAAGAAATAGATACAGGAGAGGGTGGGATGTGGCTCACAGGTGAGAGCACTTGCCTAACAAGCATGAAGTCCTGCATTCAAACCCCAAATGAAACTAAGAAGTGGGAGAGTGACTGTATACACCTATAATATGCATAAGTGGCTGAGGTAGCAGGATCATGAGTTCTAGACCAGCCTGTGGTATGTGTCAAGATGTTGCTTAACTATAAAATTCACATCTCCAGTTAGCTAGCAAAATGCCAAACTGGTGGCAGGACTCAAGTGAGTGCGAGCCTTTTGCAAGAAAGTTGAGTAAGAGCAGGAGGCTATTTGTTTCTAATACTGGTACAAAAATGTCTGCTGTCATTATTTTTTTATTTTTTGTCAGTCTGGGCCTGGGCACTGTCCCTCAGCTATTCAGCTCAAGGCTAGTGCTCTACCACTTGAGCCACTGCACTACTGGTTTTCTGAGTGGTTTATTGGAGATAAGAGTCTCACAGCCTTTCATACTTAGGCTGGCTTTGAACTGTGATCCTCAGATCTCAGCCTCCTGAGTAGCTAGGATTACAGGCGAGAGCCACCATGTCCAGCTGCTGTCATTCTTCTTTCTTGGGGGGGGGTCCAGTCGTGGGGCCTGAACTCTGGCCCTGGGCGCTGTCCCTCAGCTCTTCAGCTCAAGGCTAGCATTCTACCACTTGAGCCACAGCGCCACTTCCGGCTTTTTTCTTTTTGCTTATGTGGTGCTGAGGAATCGAACCCAGGGCCTCAGGCATGCAAGGCAAGCGCTCTACCACTGAGCCACCTTCCCAGCCCCTGTCATTATTCTTTATCAACTTTAATTTGACTTCTGAGAGGGGAGGGAGGGATGGAGGGCAAGGAAGCAAAGTGCAGGAAGGAAGGCATAATTATCAGTCAACTCCATGATGAGAAAAATTAGTTTCAATGAAATCAAGTTGTTTTCCTAGGGATCTATGGCTAGTAAATAGAAAAGTCCCAAACTATAGGCTAAATTTTAAGATACATTTGGAACTACAAAAATGCATAAAGTGTATCTTTTTTTTTGCCAGTCCTGGGGCTTGAACTCAGGGCCTGGGCACTGTCCCTGAACTGCTTTTTGCTCAAGGCTAGTGCTCTACCAGTTGAGCTACAGTGCCACTTCTACCTTCTTTATGATAATGAAGAATGGAACCCAGGGCTTCATGCATGTGAGGCAAGCACTCTACCACTAAGCGACATCCCAGCCCCTAAAGTATACATCTTAACACAAACTCCCACAACTATAAAAAAGAAAAATATAGAGAATTTATTCCTATTGTGAAGATAAAATTCTGCTGATAATATACATAAATGTACTTTACAGTGAGCAATACAAATTTATAGCTATCTTCCATATGTTTCTAGAACATTTCCATTGAAGATCAAGTAGTTTTCAAGTGCAGTTCCCTGAATTGAAGAGTTTCTGGCCAGGTGCCGGTGGCTTACGCCTGTAAGCTACTCAGGAGTCTGAGATCTGAGGATCACAGTTCAAAGCCAGTTCAAGCAAGAATGTCCATGAGACTCATCTCCAATAAACCATTCAGAAAACCATAAGTGGCGCTGTGGCTAAAGGGGTAGAGCCCTAGCCTTGAGCTAAAGAGCTGAGGGACAGTGCCCAGGCCCAGAGTTCCAGCCTCATGACCAACAACAACAAAAAAAGTTTCTGGCATAATCCTTGGGTTTCAGTTAGGATTTTCAATCAGAGAAGGAGAGAATATCCATATATTCTTTAAACACCTGCTGAGTTTTTCTCATTACAATGTAATAATAAACTTGTCCAGATCCAAGGAAAGTATGATCATTTCAAAAAGAAAACATGTATTATCAATTTTTATATACAGGTGATTCCATCCTCATTTTTTATTGTCAATGTGATGTACAGAGGGGTTATAGTTATATAAGTAAGGTAATAAGTACATCCGTCATAATTTTTACTGTTTTTTTAATGTTATTGGGGTTTGAATTCAAGAGTTTTTCCCTTAGTAGTAAGTGCTCCACCCCTTGAGACATGGCCCCCTGCTTTGGCTTTAGTTATTTTATTGGATAGGGTTTCTGCATTTTGCTCAGGCAGCCTGGACAGAAATACCCTTCCCTTCCTAAGCTTCCTATGTTGCTGGGATTACAGGTATGAACCACCATGGTCAGCTTGCTTGTTGGTAGATCTTTCTTTCCAGTCCTGGGGCTTGAACGCAGGGCCTGGGCACTGTCCCTGAATCTTGAGCCACAGTGCCAATACCAGCTTTTTAAAAATCATTTATTAGAGATAAGAGTATCATGGCTTTTTCTGCCTGGGCTGGCTTCAAACTGTGATCCTCAGATCTCAGTATCCTGAGTAGCCAGGATTAAAGGCATGAGCCACTAGTGTGTTGGCTTGATAGGATGTCTTGCTAGCTTTTTAACCTAGGCTGGCTTCCGGCATTAGATCTTTCAGTCTCTTCCTCCAAAGTAGCTGAGATTGCAGGTATGAATCCAGCCTGCAATCATTTTAATGTTGAGTTGTAAAGATTTGAATAGTGGATAAAGATAATTTGTGCTGTGAATTTGAGTTACGTGACAATTCTTTTAACAGGATATATGATCATTAAGGATAATAAAATAGTCATGTGTTAGCTGTTTTTGTGGGATTTCTTGTTTGTTTGCTTTTTGTTTTATGGGTCCTGGGACTTAAACTCAGAACCTGGCTACTGACCCGAGCTTCTCCTCAAGGCTAAGGCTCTACCATTTGAGCCATAGCACCACCTTCGGCTTCTTTTGAGTGGTTAATTGAAGATAAGAGTGTCAAGAACTTTCCTGCCTGAGCTGACTTCTAATTGCAATCCTCAGATCTCACCCTCCTGAGTAGCTAGGATTACAGACATGAAGAGAGCTGAATTCTTAAGGTATAAGTTTTGCAATGGATTTTTAAAAGCCACTAGGCCTGCTTAGTTGCATTTTGTTCATGACATTTTACATTGATCTCATTTGTATTTCATAATGCCACCTTTGCCCTCTTAAACACGTGCTCATCCGGATCCTTGTCCAAGAGACAGAATTGCTGGCTTTGACCAGACAGATTATTTAATTTTGTTTTATCAATCAAACTGGTTGTAAAACTTTAGCAGAAAAAAAAAACTTTAGCAGAA